CTGATCTAGCTGTCCTCTTAGTATGCTTTTGTTTTAGGTATTGTTGTTGATAACTTGAGTTTGCTGTCCTTTCCCTGTTCATCTTTTTTATCTTCTTTTTCTTAGGTAAGTGCCTTTAACATTTCATATAATAAGGGCTTGGTGATGATGAACTCCTTGAATTTGGTCTTATCTGAGAAGCACTTTATCTGCCCTTCCATTCTAAATGAAAAGTTTGCTGGAGAGAGCAATCTTGATTGTAGGACTTTGGTTTTCATGACTTGGAATACCTCTTTCCAGCCCCTTCTTGCCTGTAAGGTCTCCTTTGAGAAATCTGCTGACAGTCTGATGGGAACTTCTTTGTAGGTGACAGTCCCCTTATCTCTTGCTGCTTCTAGGATTCTCTCCTTGATTTTAATCTTGGCTAATGTAATGATGATGTGCCTTGGTGTGTTCCTTCTTGGGTCCAACTTCTTTGGGACTCTCTGAGCTTCCTGGATTTCCTGGAAGTTTGTTTCCTTTGCCAGAACGGGGAAGTTCTCTTTTATTATTTGTTCAAATACGGTTTCCACTCGTGACTGTTCCTCTTCCCCTTCTGGTACCCCTATAATTTGGATGTTGGAATGTTTAAAGATGTCCTGGAGGTTCCTAAGCCTCTCCTCATTTTTTTGAATTCTTGTTTCTTCATTCTTTTCTGTTTGGTCATTTTTTCCTTCCTTTTGGTCTGCTCCCTTGATTTGAGTCCCAGTCTCCTTTCCATTACTATTGGTTTCCTGTGCATTACCATTCATTTCCATTAGTTTCGCTTTCATATGTTTCTGTAATTTGTGACTAAAATCAACCAGTTCTGTGAGCATGCTGATCACCAGTGTTTTGAACTGTGCATCTGAAAGTTTGGCTATTTCTTGATCGCTAGATTTATTGGCTCTTGGGCTCTAAGTTTTTGTTGAGCCATGTTTTTATCAGGTTGTGCCTGTGATGTATGAGGAGAGGCGCCTTAGTCGTTCACCAGGGCGGGGCCACCCAGGTCCCTGGTGTGTGATGCTCTATGTTGGGGCGGGGTCAGAGAGGGAGCAATGGTGGTCCTTTCTGCTTGCCCAGTCTGCCTCACTGCTCGCCCCCTGCCTGTTTATCTGAGTGCAAATGTGCAAGCCCGCAGTCCTGCGCCAGGGCCTGTGCAATCTGTCTCAATGCTCACCTTTTCACTGGTTTATCTGCATGCAAATGCGCGACCAACCGCAGACAGCCAGCTGCACCTCTTCCCTAGTCCTCCCATAGCTACCCTGCACCTAAGATCCGAGCCCCCTATTGCCTGTGTACTGCCTGGCTCAGGGGATCTTCCCTGCCCAACCCGCTCTGGTACTGGCTTTGCTACTCTTACCTGTTTAGCTGTGTGGTTTGCTATTTTCAGACTCCGTGTTGTCAACTTTCTGTGTGGTTTGGTTGCATTTATTGTTGTTAAAACTTTGTTGTTTTTAGGTTTGGTTGAGCGAGGTCGCAAAGTGTTTCCACCCACACCTCCATCTTGGCGGAAGTCCTGTCTTTGATTTTTTAAAATGTGGTGTATTACATTTATTAATCTTCAAATCTTGTACTATCTTTGCATTCCTGGGATGGATCCCTCTTCATCATGGTGTATGATTTTTTTTAATGTATTGGTGTTGTGAATGCCAGTATTTTGTTGAGGATTTGATCATCTATGTTCATCAGCAATATTGGCCTGTGTGTTCTTTCTTTGTTGTGCTTTTCTCTGGTTTTTGGTTTAGGATAATGCTGGCTTCATAAAAAGAGTATGGAAGTGTTCCATGTTCTTGGAATTCGTAGAATAGTCTGAGAAAGATGGGGTTGGCCCTTCCTTAAATGCTTTGTAAAATTCTCCTGTGAAACCATGTGGTTCAGGGCTTTTGTGTGTGAGAAGCTTTCTGATTAGTGTTTTGATTTCAGCAGCTGTTATTGGTCTGTTCAGGCTTTCTGCTGCTTCTTCATTCACTTTTGGAGGATTCTGTTTTTCTAGAAATTTGTCCATTTCACCTGAGTTTTCCAATTTCTTGGCATATAGCTTTTCATAGAAATTTCTTAGGATCTTTTTTATGTCTGTGGTGTCACTTGTACTCTCTCTTGTTTTATTTGTGATTGTGTTTATTTGGGTCCTCTCTCTGTTTTTCTTGATGGCCTCGCTTTAAGGCTTGTTGATTTTGTTCATCCTTTCAAAGAACCAGATCCTGTATTTATTGATCCTTAGAATCACTCCTTTAGTCTGTATGTATTTTAATTCTGCTCTGATCTTGGGTATTTCCTTTCTTCTACTTGCCCTGGGCTGTCTTTGTTGTTCTTCAAGTTCTCGTAGGTGTAGGGTTATGTTGTTGATTGGAAATGTTTCTTTTCTTTTCTTTTTTTTTCCAGATAGACCTGTATACCTGTTACCTTCCCTCTCAGGACTGCCTTTGCGATGTTGCATGCGTTTTGGGTGGTTGTGAATTTCTTTACATATGTTTTGAGGAAGTTTTTGATTTCCTTCTTGACCTCTTTCTTGATGCATTCATTGTTTAATAGCATGCTATTGAATTTCTATGTCTTTGAGTGTTTTTTGCATGTGTTTGTTGAGGTTGTTTTCTAGTTTGAGTCCCTTGTGGTCTGAGAAGTTGTTTGATATGATTTCAGTTTTCTTGAATTTGTTGAGGCTTGTTTTGTGTCCGTCATGTGGTTTATCTTTGAAAATATTCTTTGTGCATTTGAAGCCATGTGTATTTTGCTGCTTTGGGATGAAAGACTCTCTATACATGAGTTAAGTTCATTTGATCTAGGGTGTTTTTCAGTGCCACAATATTTTTGGTTATATTCGGTTTGGAATATCTGTCAATTTTTGAAGGGGGGATGGCTTAAGACCCCCTAGAATAACTGTGTTTCTGCCTATCATCTTTCTTGAATTCCTCTACAATTTTCTTTATGTATTTGGGTGCTCCTGTGTTGTGTACATATAAGTTTATAATGATTATGTCTTCTTATTGGACTCTTTCCTTGAGTATTATGATGTGTCCTTCTGGTTATTTTTTTTATGGCCTTGTTTTTGAAGTCTACTTTGTGTGATATGTGTATTGCTAGCCTGGCTTCTTTTTCTCGTTCATTTGCTTGGAAAATTTGTTTACATACCTTCTCTTTCAGTCTGTGTAGGTCTTTTGTTCTGAGGTGGGTCTTTTGTAGGCAACATATGTTTGGGTCATGTTTTCTTATCCATTCAGCTACTCTATGTCTTTTTATTGGAGCATTGAATCCATTTACATTTAAGGTGATTATTATGATTTCTTTTTCTGGCACATATTTAAAAATTAAATTGTTGCTCAAGTACCGTTTTCTATCATTCAATCCCATCCCCAGATCACCTTCCCTACTGTTCCCCACCTCCTTCCCATTTCCACCCCCCCTTAGTTGTTGTCCATGTGTCCTTTATACTCGTTCCTCTAAATTATTCCCCTTTTCCCCTGAAATTCCATCCCCTCTCCCCACTGGTCAATGTCGGCCTTTTCTCTATTTCAGTGTCTTTGGTTTTATTCTGTTTGCTTGTTTGTTTTATTCTTTAGCTTCCTGTCAAAGGTGAGATCATATGGTATTTGTCTTTCAATGCCTGACCTATTTCACTCAGCATAATGCTTTCCAGTTCCACCCATGCTGCTTCAAGGGTTCAGGAGCTCCTTCTTTCTTTGTCTTGCATAGAATTTTATTGTGGAAATGTACCATGGTTGTTTGATCCACTCATTTACTAATGGGCACCTAGGGTGCTTTCAGCACTTGGCTATTGTAAATTGTGCTGCTATGAGCATTGAGGTGTGTAGGTTCTTTTGGATTGGTGTTTCAGTTTTCTTAGGGTTTAATCCTAGCAGTGGAATTGCAGGCTGAAAAGGCAAATCTATCTGTAGTTTTCTAAGACAATTCCATACTGTTTTTGCTTGTGGTTGTACCAGTCTGCAATCCCACCAACAGTGCCCCAGGGTTCCCTTTTCTCCACAACCTCTCCAACACTTGTTGTTTATTGCTTTGTTTATGATGGCCATTCTGACCGATGTGAAGTGATATCTCATTGTGGCTTTAATGTGCATCTGTCTGATAGCCAGAGATAGTGAGCATTTTTTCATGTGTCTCTGGATCCTCTGTATGTCCTCCTTGTAGAAGTGTCTGTTGAAGTCCTTTTCCCATGTTTTAACTGGGTTGTTTGTCTTCTTAGTGAGGAGTCGTATAAGTTCTTTATATATTTTGGAGATTAAACCCTTGTCTGAGGTATCATTGGCAAGTATCTTTTCCCATACAGTTGGTCCTTTTTTTTTTATTTTAATACTGTTTTCTTCATCCATGCAGAATCTTTTTATTTTGATGAGATCCAATTTGTTTATCCATTACTTTATGTCCCTTGCTCCTGGGGAAATATCAGTAAAAAAGCTGCTTGTGTGAAGTATTTGAGATTTTCCTGCCCATGTTCTTCCCTGGGATTTTAATGGTGTTATGGCTTATATTTCAGTCTTTTGTCTACCTTGAGATTATTTTTGTGACACATGAGCAAACACTAGGGTGGATGGATATGGAATAAAGAGGGGAGGGCTGTGTGTGTGGGCTGGGATGGGAGTAAAAGACAGAAAACTGTACTTGAACAACACTTAAAATAAAAAGAGCTTAGATGCAATAAAATACCAGTGGGGTGTAAACATGGGAAGGAGTTGAGGAGGTATGGGTTGGTGGGCGGTGTTGGGAGGATAAAGGTAGAAAAGTGTACTTGAAAACCAGTAAAAAAATGTTAAAAAGTAATAAATAAAATGGGCAGAGATTTGAACAGATATTTTACTAGAAGCCACTGTGAAGGTTCCTAACACAAAAAATAACATGAGGCAGTTGGTTTGCTTTTAAGTTTAACAAAAGATTACTGGAAGATTTTATGCATGTAGAAGATAATAACTGATCTTTTTGTAATTTCATCTCCTTAAGGTGCAGACCTAAAATCAGGCTTAGTTGGACCCTGTGTTCCTAAGCTCAAAAGGTTGTCCTTGGGCCAGTTCAGATCGATGTTCCACAATATGCCCCAAATGTCCTTGTAAATCTTTCATAAAAGATTGTATTCATTTATTTTTGGAGAGATGAGAAGAGAAGGAGAAAGAAGGGAGAGAAACATCAATGTGTGATTGACTCTTAAGCATCTCCTACTGAGGACCTGGACCAAAACTCATGCATGCGTCATAGACTTGGAAGCGATCCAGCAACACTTTGGATTGCAGGTGCGCATTCAAGCCACTGATCTACAGCAGCCAAGGCCTTTCTTGTAACTCTATTACCTCTGTTTTTCAACATCAGATTCATGGGATGTCAGTCCTTGGGCATTAAGAGACATTATGTCATTCATACTTGAGGATGCCCTTAGATAATGGTTTTCTCCTCAATGTGAAACCTGGGAGACTGGGGAGGCCCTGAAAGCCCAAAGGCTTCCTCAGGACACAAAACTGGTGAGAAACAGGAATTCTGAACTAAGCTTTGTCCCCCAAACCAAGGACCTAATATGTTCCCAGGGACCTGTGGAGAAGATTGTGTTCACTGTCAGTGTACAGATACAGAGATGACATGAGAGTGGAGGGTGAGGACTCAACATCTTCCACGGGACATTGAGAGGCTCTGATTGGAGGAAGAGGCTCAGGTCATAGAACCTTGAAGGGGTGACCTCACTTTCTTTATGACAGACCCCCAAGAGAAATTAGAACTCTGGTAACTAGGCAACCCTATTCTAGAGACAACTGCCCATCCAGGTCAGTTGACTGTAGACAGTCAAGAGGCTGGGATGCCTGTTTGTTGTTTCCCCGTTTTTCGAGGCTCTAGGCCAAAGAAAGTTGATAGTGAGAAAAGTTTCTCATGCTTTAGATGGTGGCGCAAGGGCAGGCGTCATCACCACCTCCCACCACTTGGCAGGATACACCCTCAGGTAATGGTGGGTATGAAGGGCTGGTGCATTCACCCCAGGCTAGCAGCACTGGGATCCCACTTGGGCTGCATCCCAGCACTTGTCCCTCTTCTTGCATATATGTGTGTGTGTTGGAGGTGGGGAGGGACTCCAGATAAAGGGTGCTCATGCTTGGTACAAGACGCTTGTTAGGTGCTAGAAACCTGAAGGGACTGTCAAAGTCATACCGCAGGTCATGGCAGGCAAGATGGGAAGGTGAGTGTTGGAAACAACTCCTCTTCTCACTGGGCCCTCAAGGTGTCATTTTAGTTCTTCCCAGACTGGAGGTGTTTTCAGGTGCTTCTCTGTGCCTTCCTGGTGTGGGGAACAGAAATTGTGGTGGGAACATGCTCCAGTGTCAAGGTGTAGACAGGCCCCTGGCAGCAGCTGACCATTTACTGGGCTTGGTCTTTGCAGAAGTCCAAGGAGGATATCGTAGAGCTGGCTGATGGCTTCTCTTATGCCATTGGCCTGTACAGTGGACCAGTGCCCCAGGCCAGGAACACCATGCAGTGCCGGGCTGAGGTGAGAGCTGTCCCACTCCCAGGGCCCTGAGGTGAATGGGGTGAAATCATAACCTAGAATCAAACGTGGGGCTTTGAGGATTTCACATGCCCACTCCCAAATGACTCTGTACCTGCAATCCTACTACCAGGTTTCTGGTAGGGCAGAAAGCCATTCTTCACATTTGTAAAATCATAGAGAAATCTTGCTGTTCCATTATACTTGTTTTGAATATTTACCTTCCTGTAAAATGTACCTTGTGGAGCCATCACCTCTGCTGTGCTTGAACATCTTCATGTCTACATATCATGACACAGAGAGGGTGGTTTTGCTAAAACCACAAAGAAACCAACATGGGAGGAATGTACATATTTGTTACTATTTGTCTGCAACTTGGCATCTCACAGAACACACAAACCATTTTAAGCCAGGCAGCTCAGCAGCTGTGGACTCGTATATCTCCATATTACCCTGTAGAGAAGGTAATTTTTCTCAGTGATTTTCTTGTTAGACCTTGACATGATGCCATTCTGCTGTAATTTCAGCAGTGTGAGTAGAAACAGCCTCACCGTCTCCTCATAGACTCATAGACTGTGCACTAGTTTGCTAGGTCTCCATTACACAGGGATGCATTTTGTATGGAACGTTACTGAGGACTCCTGGCTCAATACACGGCTGTGTCTTTGCAGAGCTCCCATGATGACATACTTGAGGAGCTAGTGCACGAGAAGGACCATAACATCTACAAGGTAAAGGTACAGGTGCACCAGACCTACACCACCAACCAGCAACAGGCTCAGGTTAGAGCTGGCCCAGGGAGTCTCCACCCCCAGGAAGCCGAGGGGACATGAGGGGACCTACCATATAAGCTCAAATATGAGGATGGTTGCCTCATGGCCCTCCCAGTGCTCTTTCTAAAGTGTTCCACTATCCCCTGCACAGAAGAATCTGGACCTCCCCTTCTCCCACCAGCTATATAAGTCAGGAGAAAGACATTCCTCACATGTTTGTGAGAATGTTCATGAAAAATGTTACACTTCAGAGTAGAGATGGTGAACATGAGCATCTTGCTCTTTTCATTGATTTTCCTAGCAGCCCCAGAATTCTGGTTGAGTAGTCAGCTCTACTGTCCTTGCAGGCCTCCAGATCTTACACATCATCACACTGGATTAGAGGTGTTGTACACAAAATTGACATAGTCAAATATAGGATCATTCCTCTGCACCTTTTCAGTTCACAGAGCAGGACAAACCATGGTAATTTGGCCAATTTAAACAATTTGACTTCATTTACATCTGTACTATCTTATAAAGGAGGTTGTTTCCACAGTCAGCCATTCACTGACTTTGGACTTTGACATGATTCAGTTCTGCATCTCCTTCATCAGGGCTGCCAGGAATGTCCTCACTGTGTCACGCTAGAATGGACACCCTTGTCAGGGCGGCCTTAAGACAGATGCGCAGGTTGCTTGGAGGTTTCTGATGCTTACTGCCCTGATACGGGGTTTGTCTTTGTAGAGTTTGAATGAAGACATCTTGGAAGAGCTTGTCAATGGATTTAACCATTCTACTGCACTAGACAAGGGCAAGGTGCTTTGGTCCACTGATGCCAGCATATGTTGCTCTGAGGTGAGAACTGGGTCGGGAGAGACTCTACATCCGAGACCAAAAGATGACATTCAGGTGTCCAGGAGCAGGATCAATTTGGGGACTCCCACAGGGGCACCCAGTGGCATTCCCAACACTGACCCACAGCCAATGGGATACACAGGAATATGGACTTCATTTTCTCCCACCACCTAGAAGGGAGACTAGAAGTAAAATACTTGTTGTAACCCGAATACTCGGAAAGATCTTTTTGTCATGATACACAACAAGCATATTTGTATTTATCTTAATCTTTTCTCATTGTTTTTTAAATTACCTGACCACTTACTATGCAGAGCAGTGAGTACAACAGTCATTGAAGACAGTCTCCAATAATGGAGGGTGTTCGCCACAGCTCTGCAGCCTGTCAGTGCTGGTAGACATGGTGTCCTTCACCTCAGATGCCATGTCAGCAGTCCGCCAGATCACTTCAGTGTGTCCCAAGGGTCTGGAGTATTGCTGAGGTTGCCATAACATAGGACCCCCTGAGTGATGTAAAGGGCAGACACTTAATTTTTCACAATTTCAGAGACTAAAAGCTAGAAGTGGGGCTGTGGGCACGGCGAGTTCTTTTAGAAAGGTTCTCCCAAGTTCATACATGGCTGTCCCTGACTCTGTGTCACATGCAATCTAGTCTGTGCCTCCTTGTCTTTTCCCTTCTTCTTCTAAGGGCACTGGTCATATTGGGCTAAGACTCACATCACTGAACTCTTTCCACCTTAACATTTCCCCTTCAGTTCATACTCAGAGGCATATTTTGAAGCTCCAGGGCTTCCACAGATGTGGAAGTTGGGTGATACTCTTAAGCCCTCAATGTTTACCTGCACTGTCCTCAGCTGAAAGGACATGCGCACGTAAACTTTTAGTGACCACATCCAGATTCCGAAAGGAAAACTAGTGTTACAGTGCCAACAGAACTTTTGTGATAAAGGCTGCTCCCTTGCACCCCGTGAGTGTTTCTCATTCGTTGTTCTTTAGAGCAATGTGGGGACAATAGGGACAACTGTAACTGAACAACAATTTAAAAGGAAAATAATGAAAACATTGCCAATCCGGTTATAATGTGTCTGTGGCGGTCCCGGTACGTTTTGGTTTTGCTTTTTCCCCAGCACACTTCCACTCACTTGTCAGTGTGTGTCCATCCACAGAAATGGGATCTAAGTGAGTCAGACTCTGAGTCCTGCCTGGTGACCAGCTTTCTCCAGTCAGGTGTCACCAGGCATTTGTCCCAATGCTGTTTCTGCATCCCAAAGTGAGTTTTAATGTGCGAGGGAGGAAAAGAAGTGTTGTTTTGGAAATCACTGGTTTTCATAGGCTGTGTGTGTCCATCATGCACACTTCCCACATAGGGAGAGATGGTGTTCCCCCACCACTTCCGCCCATGTCAGGAACAGATGCGTCTCCGGTAGCTAAGAGGAAATGCCAGGCATCACTAGCTTTGGACAGTTCTCACTTCTAACCTGCATGCCATTCACCAGCTATTTGACATGCACGAGCCTGTGTGATTTCTTCGTTGTAATGACAGTCTGTTTGCTGTTTCCTGGGTGGAAAGCTCTTCCTAAGATGCTGTCTATGGAAATATGTCACTCCTTATCTTACAAAAATGTCTAAGAAACTAATAAATGAATACCCATATTCCACTAAAAATTGATAGTACGTTTTTTGAAATATTTTTGCAGCTCTTTTTAATTTTAATTGTTCAAGTACACTTTCTTGTCTTTTACTCCCATCCCAGCCAAAACACCAAGCCCTTAGAGTAAGTTCCCACCCTCCTACCTCCCTTCCTTTTCCACCCCCCCCTGTTATTGTCCATGTTTCCTTTATACGTGTTCACACGAACACTTCCCCTCTTCTGCTGTAATTTTCTCTTTTTAAAACAACTTGATAAAATCCTATTGAATATGGGTACTCCTCACTCTTCTCTTGCACAAGTCCCTGATGGTCCTGGCAATTTTGGATGAACTCCATACCTCATTCCTCCCCATTGGTTCATAATGATGCCACTGAGTTGATGACTGTCCTGGTCCCACACAGGGTGCATCTGAGTTGACACTGAAATTGACAGAACCCTGCCGACTGCGGGCCCTCCAGGGAGGCACAATGAAGATATTGGCGGAGTTCGTGTCTCCAGCGATGAAGGGTGGAAACTTCTCCCACCTGTCTACCTTCGGGACCCTGCAGCCATCCTTCTCCCGAGCCCTAGTGCTCTTGGGTGATCTGCTGACTTGGTGAGCAAGTGCCATCTTTTCCGCACAGCTCTTATTCTGCCTGCTGCAATCAGAGTGCCATAGAAATGTCAGCACATCTCCCTATGCCCGAGTTAGCTCTTTGAAATGTGGGGTGACAGAGGACAAACCTCATAATATTGTCACGGGGACTATGGAGGGAACAATCCACATAGGTTTCACCTGGCACCTGTCCCTGCAGAAAGGCTTCTGGATGTGCTGTGGCAGTTCATGCCAATTTCTTTTTCTGTCCACCTGGGAAAGTCTCCTGCCTCATCCATCATGCACAGTGTCATTTCTGAGCTTGGAAAACTATCTGTCAAGATGTTAGGGAAAATATTTCATGGACACTTGCACTTATCTTTGATATTGCCACATTAGGAATCTCTGGAAGTAGCAGGAGAATCCAGGCCAACTGAGATATTTGGGATGGTTCTGGTTGGACTTCATTTATTCCACCATTTGTATGAAGTACCAAGTACAAGTAGGTCCCATTAGAAGCATTAAGCATAACTCAAAGAATGAAGCAGACACAAACCCAGACCCTCAGTTCTACTCAGTGAATCAATCAGTCATAATCAGTATCTTTTTCAGGTCCTGTCCTTCAGCCATTGGTTCTGATACAATCAGCATCGTAGGGACACCTCTAGACCTACTGAATAATAACGTCAATGGACATGGTTCAAGGTATGAAATACAAAGCTGGGTGTAGGAAGAAAGGTCTCCCTTATTTGGAAGCACACTGGCTTAGGCAGGGAGGTTCTTCCACCAAGGACATATTCTAGATGTGATTTCAAAGGGAGACCTGTACTCTAGTGGCTTCTATCCCCAGAGGACAGAATTAAGAGAATGTTGGATGGGGTCCCTGGCCTCATACAACCAGAAGGAAGCCAGGCTGCATGTTGCCTTAGGGGCCAAACCCCATCACATTCCACTCCCACTCAGCCTGCCTCTCCTCAGAGTCAACTCTCCCAACCACCATCCCAGGCTCTAAACAGGAGATGTGATCATAGCTTACTCAGCAATCTCCTGCTAAGTTCAGTGTAGATGAGCATGTGCATCAAGTGTTGGGTTAGGCAGTGTATAGACCTTGAGGAGAAATGCCATTGGAAAGAAAAGCCTCACAGGGTCTCCATGACAAGCCTGCTGCATTCCCAGGCCTGATCCTCTAAAGTCATCCATACAGGGGTCGAGGTTGGCATCAGGGTGTTCCCTGATTGGACATGGGCATGAACAAAAGCCCCTCCCAAACAAGACTGTCCTGGGATGGTGCATTGAAATAGGATTCCAGACCCTAACTCTGCTGCCCAACTGTATCTCCTCAGGGCCAAGTCTTCTCCAATGGGCCCCTGGCCAGTCCAGGTCCAGGAGTTTGGAGAGCCCCTACATTTGTCCTTCTTCCATCTGAAGCTGGTCTTGTGCGAGGCCCACCTTCTTTGTGTAGATCTGGAGTATCCTGAGCCCCTGGATGTAAGAGCAGAAGGTGAGGGAAGTACAAGTCCGGGTGATGATCTAGGACAGGTTTTTTCATGGGCAGGACTTCCCTAAAAGGCACCAAGAACATTCCTATCCCTGGAAAGGCAAGTGAAAACCAGGTATGTGTTTAAATCTGTTTCTTTCTGATGCTCCAGAGCCACCTGCAGAGCTGAGACTCACTGCAGAGTTACAGGAAGAACTTGCTCAAGGGCTAGTGCCTGTGTCAGCCAGAGGCCTAGCCCTTGGTAGACCTGGTCTGAAGAACTCCCAGAAGCCAGGATGCAGACATCTTTGTGACAGTCACATCTTGATGGTTTTGGTGAAAGAGTTGAATTACTCTTCTTTGTCGGAGAAGTGGAAGATGCATGAGGCCAATGACAGCAGACAGTGCCTCCCTGAGGTGAGACCTAGCCCGGAGGGGTTCCATACTCATGACAAGAAGGTTATATTCCAGTGCCCCAGAGCCGACTCAGTATAAGGTCTCCCCCAGGGACGTTCAATGATTTTCTCTACACTGTCCAACAGGAAAAGTATAAAAACCCCTTGGACGTTCACTTCCCCTGTACTTTCAAGTACCTTAGAAAGAAAATATGGTATGAATAAACATATTAGGAAAATATGTTCTTTTATTTTAGGGTACACAACAAGCATATTTTCTCTTTACCTTTCTTGTTTGGTTCTTTTGGTTTTGCTTTAAACTAGCTGTCCCGACACACTGCTGAACAGTCAGGTGCAGTCCTTGCAGACATTCTCCAACAGTGCAAGTTGTTTACAACAGTGATGCAGGCTCTCACTGCTGGGTGACATGCTGTGTGATTGACTTCAGGTTCCATTTCATCAGTGCTACAGAAAATTCACCAGAGTGTCCCAAGGATGTAAAAGTTTTCTGGTGTTGCCATAACATAGGACCCCACTGGGTGGTGTATAGAGTAGACACTGGATTTTTGACGATTCCAGAAACTGTTAGAATTGAGAGTGTCTCAGGGCTCCTGTCTTTTCAGGCTTCCTTCCCTTGCTTATATACATGGCCACCTTCTAATGTTGTGACACAGAATTTGTTTTGTGCTTCTATATGTAGTCCCCTGTCACTCTAGGGACACTGGTTATATGGATGTGAGACCCACATCACTGAATTCGCTTAATCATAACTAGTTACTTAAGGACTGCCTGGTGTGGGGAACAAAATTTGTGGTGGGAATCAGATAGAGGCAATGGCCAGACAGACCCGCAATGTCACCTAGGGCAGTAAAGGGCTCAGTCTTTGCTCAAGTCCAAGGAGGCCTTCATAGCACAGTTGGCTGATGGGTTCAATGATGCCGTCAGCCAGTAAAAGCCACAAGTGTAGCAGGCTGGGGATACCATCCCTTATAGGTCTGAGCTGAGAGGCAGACAGTCCAAGAGCCCTGAAATGACAGAAGTGGGATCATGATCAAGACTCAAACGTAGGTCCTGAAGGTTTTCACATACCCACTCCCACATTCATCTGTACCCCAAACCTACTAAATAAGTTGCTGTATGATAGAAGTCCTGGCCTCAAATAGGTTAAAACAAAGAGAAAACCCATCTTCCTTCTTCCGTTTTGATCCTTTCCATTGTGTAACTAAATGTAACACGTATTTTGATGAGTAGAAGATGAACTGGCCTTGAACTTCTTCAAGTGTGCTCAACATTATACAGAGAGGTGATTTCTAATAAGCAAAAAAAACCCCCAAAACATTGGATGCATTAACATATTTGACATAATTGTCTGTCTGTTGACATTTCAGAGAGCATGGAAACCATTTTGAAAGCAAAATGTTGGATCGTTTCCTTCAAAGACCATAGAAAATCATTATAATCTGAAAGTTTAGTAGCTGTGCCTTATTCATGTCCATGTTATCAAACAAAGATGGTAATTTCACAGTGCGACTCAGCATTTCACTGTTGATAGATGCAGACAGGATAACATTTTGCACTGATTTCAGGCATGCTACTAGACAAATTCTCCCTCTGTGCTAATAGACTGTTGACACCTTCGTGGGGTATGCTGTCAGCTGGGAGCAGAGATTCTTGGAAGGTCCCTGATGCCTAGCCTGTCAGTACCCGACGGTACTTTTTAAGACTACCAGTAGTAATATCTTCCACCAGCTGCTCAATGAGCCCTTCCATTATTACTACTACTCGGAAAGGGTGACATGCAGCAGTACCACACTGTCCATCCAGAGGTGGACTTAAGTTGAGAGCTATTCAACTGGAGAATATTCTGGAGAATGCTGGGTATTCTCCAGAACCGGGAGTGAAAGGAGACCTGAGAGGACCAAGGACTAGGCTTAAATATGAGAATGGCTTCCTAACAGCACTCCCAGTGCTTTTCATACACTGACGGACAATCGCATGCAGATGACACTCCACACGTCCACTTCTTCCACCAGCTTCATGGGACAGGAAAATGACACTCCTCACGTATTGCAACCAATAGTAGAAAAAGATGCATGTTCCATTTCACTGTAGAACGTGTACATTTACACTTTGCATTTGTTTTTGTTTTGTCTATCAGTTCCAACTTTCAGCTGCAGTAGACACGTCCCCGGTCCTTGTAAGGCACCACCTGTCCACATCACCACTCTAGAAGGAAGAGGGCATGATACAGCAAAATGGGGACAAAATAAAATGATGGGCATTTCCTGTACACTTTCCCTTCGCAGACCATAGGAAACCTTTGTGCAATGGGCAGATTAGTAGCTGTGTCCTCATGTGATCTCCTGTTATGGTATAACGACCGTAATTTGCTAGAGTGCTTCAGCTTTTCACTTTTGTGAGAGGTGGTCATGATAACAAGTGCTGTGAATTCACCAGTGAGACTGAGAACATTCTCCCCATGTCAGGATAGGGGAACCATCCTTGCATCCCTGGGTGAATCCCACTTGATCATGGTGTATGATCTTTTTGATATATTGTTGGATGCGATTTGCCAATATTTTGTTGAGGATTTTAGCATCTATGTTCATCAGCGATATTGGCCTGGTTTTCTTTCTTTGTTTTGTCTCTGTCTGGTTTTGGAATTCAGATGATGCTGGCTTCATCAAAAGAATTTGGGAGTTTTCCATCCTTCTGGATTTTTTGAAATAGTCTGTGGAGAATAGGGGTTAGCTCTTCCTTAAATGCTTTGTAGAATTCTCCCGTGAAACCATGTGGTCTGGGGCTTTTGTGTGATGGAGTTTTTTGATTACTGCTTCAATTTCTTTTGCTGTTATTGGTGTATTTAGATTTTCTGCTTCTTTTTCACTGAGTTTTGGAAGATTGTATTTTTCTAGAAATGTGTCCATTTCCCCTAGGTTTTCAAATTTCTTGGCATACAGTTCTTCATAGTAATTTCTTACAATCCCTTTTATTTCTGTGGTATCAGTTGTAATCTACCCTCTTTCATTTCTGATTGTGTTTATTTGTGTCCTCTCTCTTCTTTTCTTGATGAGCCTACTTAAAGGCTTGTCTATTTTGTTTATCTTCTCAAAGAACCAACTCCTGGATTCATTGATCCTTACAATTGTGCTTTTAGTTTCTATGTCATTTAATTCTGCTCTAATCTTGGTTATTTCCTTCCTTCTGCTTGCTCTGGGCTGTCTTTGTTGTTGTTCCTGGAGTTCTTGCAGGCGTAGGGTTAGGTTGTTTGTTTGAAATGTTTCTATCTTCTTTAGGTAGGCCTGTATGCTATAAACTTCCCTCTCACGACTGCCTTTGCTGTGTCCCATAAGTTTTGGGTTGTTGTGAGATCGTTTTCATTTGTTTCAGAAACTTTTTGATTTCTTCCTAATTTCATTTTTCACCCATTCGTTGTTTAATAGCATACCATTCAGTCTCCATGTTTTTGGTTGCTTTGGGTTTTTTCCTTTGGGGTTGGTTTCCAATTTCAGTCCCTTGTGGTCAGAGAAGATGCTTGGTATGATTTCAATTTTCTTGAATTTTTTGAGGCTCGTCTTTTGTCCTATCATGTAGTCTATCTTTGAAAATTTTCCATGTGCATTTGAAAAGAATGTGTATTTAGCTTCTTTGGGATGAAGAGCTCTATATATATCAGTTAAGTCCATTTCATCTAGGGTGTTGTTTAATGCCACAATATCTTTCTTGATAATTTGTTTGGAAAATCTGTCCATTTTTGATAGTGGGGTGTTAAAATCCCCTACTATGATTGTGTTGCTGTCAATATCTTTCTTGAAGTCCTCTAAGATTTTCTTGATATATTTGGGTGCCCCTATGTTTGGTGCATATATGTTTACAATGTTAATGTCTTCTTGGTGGATTCTTCCCTTAAGTATAATGAAGTGACCTTCTGGGTCTCTCTTTATGGCCTTTTTTAAAAATTCTATTTTGTCTGATATGAGAATTGCTACCCCAGCTTTTTTTTTCTGGTCCATTTGCTTGGAAAACTTGTTTCCAGCCTTTCACTTTCAGTCTGTGATGGTCTTTTGTCCTGAGGTGGGTCTCTTGTAGGCAGCATATGTGTGGGTCATGCTTTCTTATCCATTGAGCTATTCTGTGTCTTTTGATTGGAGCATTTAATGCATTTACGTTTAAGGTTATTATTGATAGGTACTTATTCATTGCCATTTTTGTACCTGTGTTCCTCTCTGTCTCCCTCTTATCCTTCCTTCCCTTAAAGCAGTCCTTTTAGTATTTCTTGTAGAGCTGGTTTGGTGGAGGCGTATTCTTTTAGGCTTCTTTTGTCTTAGAAGCTCTTTATTTGGCCATCTATCTTGATTGAGAGCCTTGCTGGGTAAAGTAGCCTTGGTTGTAGGCCTCTGGTTCTCATTACTTGGAATATTTCTTGCCATTCTCTTCTTGCTTGGAGTGTTTCTATTGAGAAGTCAGTAGCTAACCTTATTGGGGCTCCCTTGTATGTTATTTCTTTTTTCTCCTTTGCTGCCTTTAAGATTCTCTCTTTGTCTTGGAATTTTGCCATTTTGATGATGATGTGTCTTGAAGTGGGCTTCCTTGGGTTCCTCTTGGTTGGGACTCTCTGTGATTCCTGGATTTGTGAGACTTTTTCTCTTATCAAATTAGGGAAATTTTCTCTCATTACTCATTCAAATATGTTTTCTTTTTTCTTCTTCTTTTTTTATTCCTTTTTTTCGGATATTATTGTTTCAACTACAGTATTCTGTCTTGCATTTCTCTTAATCCGTCTTCATTCTTTCGGAGCCTCTTCATTTTCTTGCTCTTTGTGTGAGATGCTTTCTACCTTGTCCTCCAACTCACTAATCCTATCCTCCGCTTCATCTATCCTACTTTTGAAACTTTCTTCTGTGTTCTTCAATTCAGAAATTGTATTCTTCTTTTCCTCTTGTCTCTTACTGATAGTTTCCATTTCCTTTTTCATGTTGCTGTAGTTTGCAGAGAGATCATTGTAGTTCCCCTGTAGTTTCT